GAACATGACTCTGCAGCCCAGACTTGGGGATTGTTGCTAGGTGTGGTATAGAAGCTGGTTAATGGGGATGTATTTTAGGATTTTGCTTGTGCAAGAAAGAAGGTTGCTCCTGAGAGTGTTTTGTTGTGTATGTTAGGCTGTTGAGTTTTGTTTATGCAGCCGTTTAAACTATTGTTTAAAAATGTTTATTTTGGATTTTTATTTGTATATGTGTTTTCCATGATGTGACACCTACTGGGAAAAATGCCGGTTTGTATAGCCAGGGAGAGAGGATTTTTCATATTGTAATTACACATAGCTCGGATTGGAAGGGAACACATTCTCTTCATTGGGAGCAGCTTGTTGTAAGCTCAAGCAATGCTCAGCCCTCCGCTTGCTCCTGGTGTTTTACTTCAGCTTTCTGGGCCTTTCATATTTACAGAAATGAGCAGGGATCCTGGTTTTCTCTGGTTAAAAATTGCAAATTCTCTGGTTAAAAACCCATAATCTATGATAAAAATTAAAGGCCCTTCACTCCCCCTCCTCCCCCCGTCTAAACAGCCCTCCTGATGCCCCTCACAACAGCCCCCACAGACCAGACCCACAGACACTGACATCTACCTCAGCAGGTAAAATGTGTGCGGGGGGGAAGGGGTGGGGCAGAGCAGGGGAAAGGGAAGGTGCTGGAGGGGTAGATCAAAAAGGGGGGGTGTGCTGCTGTGCCCACTCCCAGGAGCAGGGCCGGGGGTGGTGAGGGCAGGGGTGCCACCCTGTGGGCCATACACGTGCCGACTAGCCTGACAGGAGGTTCGCACACGGAGGCTGCCACCACAACTCTGCCACTGCGCCCTGCGCTAGCATTCCATGGCCACCTGAATGACTTTGTGGGCAAGTGGCACAGGGCGCAGCAGCAGCCGTGCAGTGGTAACCGCTGTGTGTGGGCCACATATGTGCCGCCTGGCTGGGGGGTGAAATGGGGGGCTTGCATGCAGTGGCATGACCAACAACTGGCTGCGCGGCTCCGCGGCAGTGTGAGGTTGTGGCGGCTGCATGCAGGGTCGGGGGCTTTGTGGGCAAGCACTGCCACTGCAGAGCCATGCCCTTCACCCCTGGATCCTAGAGGTAAGTGGGGCTTGGGGGCTGTGGGGCAAGGCTGGGGAAGATGGTTGGGGGCTGAGGGAGCAGGGGTTGCTGCCAGTCCAAGGCAGCACATCACAGCTGGGAGCAGGACCAGGGGGTGAGGGCAGGGGTGCCCCTCTGCAGGGGGCTTTGCCGGCAAGTGGTACAGGGGAAAGTGTGGAGGTGCCCATCATGTGCGGGCCACACACATGCCGCCTGGCCAGCTGCCTGGGGAAGAGGGAGGCTGGCATGCGGCCGGAGCATAGCTCCATGGCCGACGCTGCAGCCACAGTGAGGGATGCGGGATGGTGGGGGGGTGGGGCTGGGGCTGGGGTTTGGGCTTGCATGCAGTGGCCGCTGCCACTTAGAGGCCCGTGATGGCAGTAATGGCTGCTGCCTCTGAAATCTCCCACTGCTGCTGTGGAGTGGTGCCTGGAGCTGTGTGGCTGGCAGCAGAGGCGTGGGATGGTGGTGGCCGGGCGGCATGCAGCCATTCCCAGCCCCACCACTGCGCCTCTGGCGCTGGCCACACAGCTCCGACCACGGCTCTGCGGCAGCAGCAGGAGGTTGTGGAGGCAGTGGCTGTCACTGCTGGCACGGGAAGCCCCACAGGCAAGTGGCAGTGGCTGCCCATGCCAGCGGTGACTGCCGCTGCCTCCACAACCTCCTGCTTCTGCCGCAGAGCCATGCTTGGAGCTGTGCAGCTGGCGGCAGCGGCGCATTGTGGGGTGGTGGTGGGGATGGCTGTATGCTGCCCAGCCACCACCACCATGCTGCCGCTGCTGCCTTGTGGCTGGATGCACAGCTCCAGGCACGGCTCTGCGGCGGCAGTGGAAGGTTTTGGAGGCAGTGGCTGTCATTTACATCACGGCCCTCCAAGTAAGTGGCAGTGGCCACTGCGTGCAAGCCCCAGCCCACCCCACCCTGTGCACCCATCCCTTGCCGTGGCTGCAG